TATATAACAAAAAAGTCGAAACATTGAGATTCTTACCAATCTACTACATGTCTAAGAGGGCTGGGAGGAGACTTCTGCAATGAAAAAAACCAGACAGCAGTGTTCTCCAGTATGGAGATCACAAGTAGCTGTCAATGACACCTGAAATTGGTAATAACTTATGAATCATATACCAAAATTAATAAATGAATATGTTGAAGTTAACAAACTTCACTCACCCATGTATATAAGGGAGAAAATATATCTCCTTCCCCATTCCAAAGCAGGTGGTGATGTATGTTTGGATATCATCAAATTTATGTCTTTCATGAGTCACAGAGGGGTCAATAAACCCATATACATCGTTGAACCCATTCTTGTTACTAACATCAAACATATACCTAAAATGAAGAAATAATCTGATATAAGTAAGTTGATAAAATAGATTTATATAAAAAAGTTTTCATAAACTTACATCATCCACAGCTGAATGAGTGTAATATTAATTTCTTCTCTACCCGACGCAAGCTCCCTAACATCTTGATGATGCAAGTACAATGGGATCTGAGCTTCTCTTCCAAATGTAGTAGAATCCCAATGTACATTCATCGGCGCATCTGAAATGATTTTAGCAAGCTCGTCTAATGCACCAAGAGGGTCATCCTCAGATAAATGAGTCTTCTTCGGTGTAGGACTTCCTTCTTGGCCTATCTGCTGTTAAATGCAAAAATGGTTATGTTATAACGTCAATTAGAAGTAAATATTAAAATTGAGAAGTATATAGTACGAGTGTTTACCAAGGGATTAGATACATCACCAACCAAATGTCTAGGCCAGGCAACAAAGGACTTAAATGCTTCTTCCACAGTGAAGAACTCATCTGTAGGCACAGGAAGAACGACATCTGCTATGACAACTTCATCCACCGTGACCTTCAACTCATCTTCTGAAAGTTGTACACCATGCACTACAGTGGCTGTCTCATAAACTGTACCACGAGCCACTAGCATGGTCCCAGTATCAGAAAGAATATATAACTGACATGGACGAGTTTCATCCATGTCGTCCCATGGGGCACCGGCAGTTGAACAACTTCCTTTACCGCTTCTACCTGTCAAATTAAATGTTAGGTTATGCAAAAAATAAATTAGTAACAAAAAATAAATAAGTTTACTTGTAGGGGGCACAACATGTTCCGCTACAGGAGATGGCGGAGGACGATTGCCATAATCCGAAGCGTATATAGCGCTTTCCAATCCCCTTTTTTTACTAGTGCTGCATTCATTTTTTTTTTTTGCTTGTTTAATCTGTTTTAGCACCCTTCTTAGGATCCATTTGAGTTCCTACTTTTGTTCTACACCTATTTTTATTGCTTTTAAGCTTTTTGGCCTCTTAAGTTGTCCAATTCAAGTAAGAATTCTAGTGTTGAAATTGGTACAGATTATTAGAAAGTGGGTTTAAGCCTAACTCAACCCCATAAAATTGGCTTGTAAGGTGAGGTTTGCACCTCACTTATATATTATAAATTGGCCTTATCTCTAGTCAATGTGGGACTTCCAACACACCCCATTCACGTCGAGGTATAGACATCTTGAGCGTGATGGTAGAAATGGGTGGTCCGATAGTGGCCCGACAACGGGTGGAATAGAACTGCCCAAGAAACAAGAAATATAGCTAGAATAGGCTCTAACCATGGCTGTGATACCATATTAAGAAGTGGTTTTTGTTAAGATGTCAGCAAGTGTACCGAATCGTATCAAGTAATATAAAATGGTAAGACCAATTATCGTATCCTAAAGGACTCACGATACTAAACAGTTGTGTAATTACTTAACTAATTAAGACTTAAGAACAATTTTTGGGGTTCTGAATGCAAATGCAGTAAAAATAAACATGAATGCAATTTGATCAATTGAGGCTAAACACTAGAATGAATGGATGAAGTTGATAACATGAGATGATAATGTTGTTGGGGTTTAGATTTCACCTAATCACTCTCATGCATATATGAATTCTTCTTCTTCATTAAATTGTTAACGTGACTCTCTAAATTACTTAAAACCTGATCACTCGGCAAAGAAAGCCTATCCTTAATTACTAAACCACAATCCCTTGCATCCCTAATAATTAATTATGAATTACGATTAGGAGCTTAAGATGACCAATCCTCCTATCCCTATCCTTGGGCAATATTGCTCTTGGGAGAAATTCTCCAAATCGTGATTAGTAAGATATCTCCCGATACTCAGACAAATCATAAAATATAAGAATTTAGCAAATGAGAAAATCCCTAACAATTAATGAAAGAAGCATATAATAATTCAAAACAAATTCAAATGCATGAGAGTTTAGTGGTTACATCTTCCCCAACAACAAATAAGATTAGTTCTCCATCGTCATGAAGAAACTAGATGAACAATGGAATGAAAGAGATAGAAAAACCCTAGAAACTGAAAAGGAGAGCTCTCACATCCCCAAATCTTCTCCAAGGGACGAAAAGTGTGTTTTTGTGTTCAAGCCATCAAAAGATACAATCCCTAGGACATCCAAGTCCTTAAATAGATAAAAATTATAGTAGAAAACGGGTCCAAGCCCAACACGCTAGCGCTCAGCGCCCTCATTTAGGGCGCCCGGGCGAAACGGCGAGAAAACTGGCGCTCAGCGCCCCTAACTGGCACTTAGCTTGGTGCGATACATGAAACTAACGCTCAACCCCCCTTTCTGGCGCTCAGCCCTAGCAGTAGCATTCTAAAACTCACTATTTTGCTGTTTTGCTTGCTTTTATGGCTGATTCAACTCTATACATTGTTGGATATTCTTCTAGGCACATTATTAGCTACAAAATAAAGGGAATTTAGTGATAAAATCATAAATTATAACCTCTATTCACTTATTCATAAAACTAAACTAAAAACATGAGTTCAAGAAAACTTCTAAGTCAAAAAGGGTTGATTTACTATCAAAATTAATCACAGATAACGGTATTTTCAACCGTTATCAGTTTTTTAAGCCTAACTCAACCCCACAAAACCGGCTTCTAAGGTGAAGTTTGCACCTCACTTATATATATGACTTGGTCTTATCTTTAGTCGATGTGGGACTTCCAACACATATTGCTAATCTGTTTGGTAACTATTCTGAATGAATTTAATGGTGTAGTGACGTCCTATTGGAGCATTCAAGTTGTAGAAACCTTCCCCTACCAAGGTAGTATCTTAGGAAGTGGAGAGGGAGGTGAATTTGGAGTTCAAGTAGGTTGTCCCAGAAATCTGTTTTGATATCCCAGCAAGATTTCATCAACCAGAATAGGCTATTTTCAATATGTTTTGGAGGAGTTCAAGTTTTAGACTATAATTCAAGTGTGTTTGGGTGCCAATATCATAGAACACTTGCTGTTTTAGAGTAGATTTTGTTATTTGATTAAGTGACTTGGAAAAATGCCCTTGATGCAATTCTAAGTTCACAATTGAACTTTGTAATAGCTTAAAACAGTGGATTAGTGTGAAAGTGTGTCAAGGGGTTCCAAGTGTTACTTGCACTTTCACTTAGGAGTGTCTAGCATTTCTATTTGCATTTACATTTATATTATTTTGCTTGACTTCTTGAATGCTGGCTTTGTTTTAAGTCTCTGTGATATTTAGGATAACATAGCATATTAGTCTAACCCTCCTTTGGTTTAGGAACATTTTAATTTGCATTTGAAAAAGCTTTTTGAAAGATTTTTACTTAGAAGCTTAGGTAAAGATAATCCGAGAAAACTCTGGCTAGGAAGTGGTTCTTAAGCTTGTCCATTTGTGACTCACTTTTCTTCCCTGGGAGCTACTTAAAGAAACTTTACCTTTAGTTTCTCTTTAGAAATCCTTCAAGTAAAAAATATGAAAAGTTTATGAAAATCTCTTTCACCAGTTCTTGAAAAATTTGTGAAAACAATTTGTAACATTTCACAATTATGACTCAATCTAGTGTACAAGGTAGTGTGAGACCTGATATCATGCAACTAATGGAAGAATTCAATGGAACATAAACTTGGATGAATCAATGGAAAGATTAAAATGTACTTCTCTACTATTTATTTCACTTGTTTGGTTGTTTTTAAAAGCTCTTTGTGAGAGTCTTTATGAAACTCTTAAATTATCAAAGAGTTATCTATAAACCTTTTCATTACCACTAGGTTACAATAAGTTTGCAAAGTTTATATTGGATCTCTTTTCCAAAATTAATATTTTGTTCATTTAACACCTTTTACTAGGATATAATTTTTTAAATTATTTATAATATTTTTTTTTTCACTTATTATATTATTACAGTTTATACAATAAAATTTTAGGACAGAAAATCGTTGATGAAGCTAGAACAAAAATTGATTTTAGGATATATTTATTAAGTTAAAATGTTTGTTATTACTTTTTTATACTTTTAAATGAAGTGAATATATATATATATATATATATATATATATATATATATATATATATATATATATTAGTATATCCAGTTTTAGTGAAATTTTAGAGAAGAGTATATGATAGGTGTACATATGGCATGACTGATTTAATTTTTTACTTTAAAAAACACCTAAAAAAATAATGTAAAGATAATGAATTGAGGAGACTTTGTTTAAAAAAGACATTTTGAGTAGACTCATAAAAGTTGTAATAGACACTACTAGGCTGAAATCTCTTTTTGAAACACAACAATAACCAACATTTTTTATTCAGTTTCCCCACGTGTTTCTGTGCACCAAAGTTCAGAATCAGACACGTGCATCATAAAATATACTGGTCCAAACAATTTACGCACGCTTCTCACACCATCCTGGTGCCACAATGATACGTCGCTGTAGTTCTGTCACGTTCCGTGACAACGGTATCCTCTTGGGGCCGCAAGCAACCCGTAACATACCACACAAGTTCCCACCTCACTAATTTTTTCCCTCCCAGTATAAAATCACCCTCATTCAACACTTCTCTACGGTCACTAAACCTAATTCCTTACAACTACAGTGCCAACTTTTGGATTAACACTGTGCACAAATGCAGAAACGAAAAGCAGGGAGGAAGAAGTTCCATGAGACACGTCACCCGGTGTACAAAGGTGTGAGACAGAGGAACGGGAAATGGGTGTCTGAGTTACGACAACCTAATAACAAAAACGCACGCGTGTGGCTTGGAACCTTCGCACGCCCCGACATGGCTGCTGTTGCGTACGACGTTGCTGCTTTGGCTTTCAAGGGTGATAACGCTTCCTTGAACTTCCCTGACGCGATTTCTTCATTGCCGCATCTCAACTCGGCTACGTCCTCTGTCAAGACCATTCAGATTGCCGCGACAGAAGCAGCGGAGAAGCACTTTTCTTGTGCCGAGTTTCAAAAGCTGGGAGACTATCTTTCTTCAGAGGGAGGTTCTGGAAGCTTCTCTTGGGATGAAGATTGTTCGGAGCTGTCATCTGAAGAGAGTTCTAGAAAGTTCTTTTGGGATGAGGAAGAGGTGTTTAACATGCCGGAGTTGTTGAACAGCATGGCGGAAGCGTTGGTCATTACACCCCCTGCTTTGCAGAAAGGGTTCAATTGGGTTGGTGGGGAAACCACAGTAGATTTGACTCTGTGGCGAAACTGATGATCACTAGCGTAAATTCAAAAGTTTATGAAAGGCTGAGATTTGTTCAAAAGAACCAATCTTTGATGTACCATATTTCTGCATGTGATATCTTTCAAAAATAACTTCAAAATATTATTAGAATGAATGAGTTCTTTAGAATTCTGTATATAAGTTGTCTACTTCATGTAATTAATGTTGTTTAATCATTTCAAAATATATTTTTTCAAATTAAAATGGGAGATTTTGTGTGAATGGAAAATTAATTGGATTGGGTAAAAGGATTTTTAGGTATCCAATTTGAATTTTAAATGTTAGTTATATGTTAAATTTTATATGATTACAAAGGAATTACCAAAATAATTTTAGAATCCAAATTCATTTCTTCAACTGAGGATTCTTTTGGATTTAGTACATGCTTGCATAAAAGAAACTAAAAAGTAAAACAATAATAAATAAAACGAATTTTCTATTATTTAAATTAGCTTATTTATAAAATAATTTATAGCATTATTTTGTATTAGCTTATTTTTAAAAGTATAACTTAATTTAAACGTTTTTAAAGAAATTACTTGCTTTTATTTATTTATTTTTCATTATAAATATTTTAAGAAAAGTTTATGGAATTAAATGCTTATATCACAATCATGCTGAAAACCTAGCTACAAAAAAAAACGCATACGAACACGACACTTATCATTTACACTTCGGCTGACCTAATGACGTAATTGGATATGTCATTTCCCATGGCAATTGTTTGAAGATAATTCACATTAGTCTTTAGTTTTCAGTTTTGGATGAATTAAATTATTATAAAATTAAACTAAATTTTGAATAGTTTAATAAAATAAAATTAAATCATATGATTATTAAGATGAAATATTCTTTTAATTGTTTAGAATAAGTTATTTAAATATCATAAGTTATAAATCAATTTGTTCTAAAAATATAATTTTATTTTTGAATGATTTAATTTTAAAAAATTAATTAAAACAATAATTTAATTAATCTTTTTTTATATATATAAAAGTTTGGTTTTTGTTTTTACATAATTCAGTTTGGTAGAAATAGCGCTGACTCACCCTCGGATTAAAACTCGCACTGTTTGGTCTTACAGTTAGTTGATGCGGGTTCTCAAGAGTGAATGACGACCACATAATATATGTAATGAAATTAAACGGCAAGGTATGGAAACAGTTAGAAGGATTTTATGATAAGCTTCATACATTTCTTAAGAAAATTTAAAAATGTAAATTTATTAGAAATATTATTTAAGTGTTTCTGAACTGAGTTGCTCACAAGCTGCTATGGGAAAGATATGAGAATCTAATTTCTTTTAATAAAAAACTTTTAATTTGAGAAAAGTATTATGTCATTCTTATAATATCATTTAATACAGTAAATAGTTATATCTACTGAAAATACGATACTTAATTAGCAAATAATTTAGAAAGATGTTTATAAGTTGTTTGTTGATTAAAATTAATAAATAATGATTAAAAAATAAAAATTATCATAAATAGTATGATTTTATATTATTTAAGATTATTGATGATTTATTTTTGTTATAGATATAAGTTTTTTATGCTAGAATTGTTTAAGTTCTTAAAGATAATTTGTTATGTATTCTTTTTGTGTATGAATTTGATTTGGTTGTCATATTTTTTTTTATAACAAATTATTAGTGTACTTTAAGATGAGATGTTATAGTACATAATACTTAACATTAGTTTTATAAAAAAAAAGACTTATAATTAAAAAATAAAACAACTTTAATAATATTTATAACAAACTAAACCAATTTTAATATATTTCAAGGGTAATAATTTTTATGATTCCTTTCTATGATTCTAAGACATAATAAAGATTATGTTTATACTAAATGTCCCCTTAAATAACGTAAAATAAAGTTACTTATACATACATAACTTCTATTTATTTGTTTTATAACCACTAGAACTAAAAATAATCTAAAAAAAAGAATAAAGGAAAAGAAAATAAAGGAAAACTAATTATAATATATTTATTTATGGTAAGATATAAATATTATATATGCCCCGAGCAAAATTTATATCTTAAAATTCATTAGTTACAAAGAGTGATGCGGTAAATATGAGAAATTTTTTTATACTAATTACAATCAAATTATAAAGATTTTTTTAACTGTTGCAATTAGAACATGTCGATTTTTTTATATATGTTAAACCTAAAATCGGTATAAAATTAGCGTAGTGGCAGAAATGTAATATTTGAAAACTTTTTCTATACATACAGACAGGTTAAACAATATAACCAATATAGATTATTCAATTCTGATTTACCCTAGATCTCCTTTCGGCTTCACTTTCTCTATTATTCAATTCTTCTCCTTCGTTCTCATTTTCGTTTTGGCGCTACACATCCTTTCTCTTGTATGTTTTTTGTCATTGTTCTCGTTCACTATTTGCTATCGTCATGGTGGTTGAGTGAAGTTATTGTTCATCGTTGCTTATTGCCATTGTTGGTTCAAGCTCTTGTTGTTGTGGTGGCGGGTCAACCTTTAATTGTCATTATTGGTTGAAGTTATCGGCGTGGTGGGTGGGTGAAGCTCTTGTCTATTATTAATGAAGCCCTCGCCTGGTTGGTCCTCTAATGTTTCGTTGTCTTGGTGGGTTTGTAAGTTGTAGTGCGTGGTGTGCGTTTGGCCCTTCTCTAGTGGTGTGTTATGGTGTTTGACCGTTGTCGCGTGATGTGTTGGGTGTTCCAACTTTAGATACTACCATAACTGCTTGGTTAACTTGACAGGGCACCATTTCCTTTGCCCATAAGTTGATCTTGGAATTTCAGCTCCCGGACAAAAAAAGGTAAGTCATTTTATTCAATTACACTTGAATCCACATTTGGATGCATATATATATAATTTGTTTTGTAAGGAACATGTTTACTGGTTTAGTGTAGTTATTATACTTGCTGTGTTTTAAGTCCACTAGTTGAGTATAAATATTAGTTATCATGCATAATGTTTTGGGCTTGAACTTCTGTACTTGAAAACTTTTTCGGATGGTAAGTAAATTGAAAGTCACACTTTACTACGATTACATGTTGCACTCTCACACACTGTTGATACAAAGCTATTGCCTTAGTTCTACAATTTTTTTTGTTGCTTAAGCTATTATTCATTCAATGACAACCCTCTTTTCATGTTAACATTGAAGATTATTGTGAACAAGTCTTGTGCCATTGTTACTTAAATTTCTCTACAAACAGAGGACTTAACTAAGGTTCCCAGAATATCAAAAGATGTAAAGACCATGGTTATATCAGATGCAAAGGTTTTATAGAAATATGTTCCCTATTGTTTCTTGTCATGTTGGAAAGTCACATTCATAATTGACTCTAGGATTCAACCTCAAAAATATGGTACCTCACTCATTTGAATACCTAAATTTAACCATTTTATGGTTGTTTCATACGTGATGAATCCTTTTTGTTCATAAAATGGTTTTGGAAAACTTGTTCTTAAATGAAAATGAATTCTAAGAAATTGACGTACAAGCACAACGAAACACCTATATAATGAAGATGTTATAATTATCATTTTATGTTCCCTTTTGCTTCATTTTTATTTGCATTTATTTTGATTGGATTTCCAGTTTCTTCATCTACCTTTGTCTTAACCATTCAAGGAATATTCAAAAGATATCTACTACTCTTAAATGAAAAAGTTATGTAGCCTTTATCTTACTACATAATTGGGAGATCATTAACCTGAAGTCTAGAAGAACTAGTGACATATCGTTCTTGTGTGTACTAAAAATCATGGCACAACTTCATGCATTCAAGTATAGTGATTCATAACCAACACATACAGTCACACACACATGAATATTACAATAATTACATGAACTCAAATTCTGTAGTTGAGCAATTGTGTTTAGGTTGTTGAAGCCTAATATATGGTTTCTACCTCCATGGTAGTGGGGGTGCCACCAAGAGGATGACTGCCAGAATTGGAAACCAAAGTGATAAAATGTCAAATATATCAAAGGCTATAAGAGCAGAGGTCAAGTTCTCCTGATGTCCATCATTGTTACTGATGTATCCAAGGTCCAAATATGCAAACTCTTTGTTGATGAAACAGTCAAATACTTTGGAAGTCGCGTGTCAGTAGAAGAAGCTACTCACATTATAGTGTAAATTTTTGTTTGTTGTTTCATTTCTATTCTTTTGTTTATAGTTAAAATTTGTAGATTTTGTGTTTCTGTGTAGTGGATCAACTAGTAAATAATGCAAGAATTAAAGGTAAGTAATAAAGTGTAATGCAAATTCTAAAAAGTTATAGAAAATCCTAAGATATACAAATTCTAGAAAGTTATAGAAAATCCTAAGATATACAAATTCTAGAATATTGTAGAAAAGCCTAGGAAGAAAAATAATCAAGAACATTCCACATAGGTAAAAATCTAGAACATTCTACATAAATTGTGGCTAACATTTTCTAGAATAATCTATGGATCTACAAATACCAATGTACTCTAACATTTGAAGTAAGACAACATTTAACACAACTAATACAACTACAAAATACTCTTCTTCCAACAACTACTTTCACATTCTACTATCTCAACATTTTTTCTATTTCATTAGTTATTCCTTTCACAATCTCAAAATATTAACAATGGTAGCAGAGATACATTCGATCATTTACTAGGCATAGATAAATTTTTCAACTATTTTAAAAGAACTATAATTCCATTCTATACTACTTTCAAAATATTTTCTCAAATCATGACTACTAACAATCAAACATCATCAATTCTAGTACCTAGACATTATAAAAGTGAGATTCACTATTCCAAAAGGCACCTCCACACTTACTATAACTTAAAAGGAATTAAAGGAAAACAAGCGTAAGAATTCAAAGGCTTTATGTTCTCTTCAACAGGCAATTGATGAGACAATATTCTTAACAAAAGAATTGTTGAGAAAATTTTAAGACTTTATGTAAACTTTAAGCTTAACTTAACCCCTACAAAGTCAAC